CACGCACCACGCACCACGCACCACGCACCACGCACCACGCACCACGCACCACGCACCACGCACCACGCACCACGCACCACGCACCACGCACCACGCACCACGCTCCACGCACCACGCACCACGCACCACGCACCACGCACCACGCACCACGCACCACGCACCACGCACCACGCACCACGCACCACGCACCACGCACCACGCACACGCACACGCACACGCACACGCACACGCACACGCACACGCACACGCACACGCACACGCACACGCACACGCACACGCACACGCACACACACACACACATACACACATTACACCTCGCCATCCTTGGGGGGCTGCGATTTGCGAAGCCGTCGCCGCTGTCGAGGGCTGCTGGGGGGACACAAATTACACCTCGCTATCCCTGGGGGGCTGCGATTTGCGAAACTGTCGCCGGTTTCGAGGGCTGCGGGGTGGTGGTGACAGCATAGTGGGTAGCCGCCGCGGACACAACTTTCACTTCCCCATCCCTGGCGGTGCTGCGATTTGCGAAGCTGTCGCTTTTTTCGGGGGCTGCTTTGGGGGGGCAGCATAGTGGGTGTCCGCCGCGGGCCCCAGTTAGACCTCGCCATCCCTGGGGTGCCGATTTGCGAAACTGTCGCCACTTTTGAGGGCTGCTGGGGGGGACAGCATATTGGGTAGCCCCCGCGGACCCAAGTGGACCTCGCCATCCTGAGGGCTGCGTCTTGCGAAGCTGTCGCCGCTTTTTGAGGGCTGCTGGGGAGGGGCAGCATAGTGGGTAGCCGCCGCGGGCCCAAAGTGGACCTCGCCATCCTTGGGGGGCTACTATTTGCGAAGCTGTCGCCGCTTTCGAGGGCTGCTGGGAGGGGGCAGCATAGTGGGAAGCCGCCGCGGACCCAAATTAGACATCGCCATCCCTGTGGGGCTGCGATTTGCGAAATTGTCGCCACTTTCGAGGGCTGCTGGGAGGGACAGCATAGTGCGTAGCCGCCCCAAGCCCAACGCAGACCTCGCCATCCCTGGGGGGCTGCGATTTGTAAAACTGTTGTCGCGTTCGAGGGCTGCTCTGGGGGGCAGCATAGTGGGTGGTAGCCGCCGCGGGCACAAATTTCACCTCGCCATCCCTGTGGGGGCTGCGATTTGCGAAACTGTCGCCACTTTCGAGGGCTGCTTGGGGAGGCCAGCATAGCTGTCGCCGCAAATCCAAAGTAGACCTCGCCGTCCCGGTGGGGGGGCTGCGATTCTGTCGCCACTTTCGAGGTCTGCTTGCGGGGCCAGCTATAGTATGGTAGCCGCCGCAGGTCTAAATTATACCTCGTCGCCCCTGGGGGACTGCGATTTGCGAAACTGTCGCCACTTTCGAGGGCTGGCTGGGGGGCCAGCATAGCGATGTGCGAAGCTGTCACCACTTTCGAGGGGTGAGGCACCGCGCAGATCTGAGCGAGACCTCGCCGTCCCTGGGGGGCTGCGATCTGCGAAGCCGTCGCCACTTTCAAGGGCTGGTGGCGGGTCCAGCGGAGTAGGGCACCACGCAGATCTGAGCGGGACCTCGCAATCCTTTGGGGGGCTGCGAGCCTCACGAATGCCGCTCGCAGAAGTAGATGCGCCCATGTCACGTCATCACCTCCGTATAACGTCTCCCAAGCTATTCATGCACCGCATTGCGCAGGGGTTGGGTACGTCGCCAGGGTAAGTTTCCCAACCCGCTTCAGGTTCGGTACCCGTTGTGAATATGGAGCACTGCTCGCGCGTCCTTCCTCCTCCTTCCCGCATCCCTCCTGCATCCGTTTGCCCTTTGCGAATGTTTTTGTCCCAACCCTCCTAGGTTGGGTATTCGGTTTGAATAGAGCACTGCGGTCGCGTCTTCTCCTTCTCCCGCCTCCCGCCTCATGCTTTGCGCGTACCTTTTGTGTGTGCATCTTGCTTGCGGTACCGCTTCTGTGTGCATCTTGCTTGGGGGGGGCTGCGATCTGCGAAACTGTCGCCACTTTCGAGGGCTACCGAGGGGGGCAGCATAGTGGGCAGCTGCCGCGGACCCAAATTAGACCTCGCCATCCCTGGGGGGCTGCGATTTGCGAACATGTCGCCACTTTCGCACTTTCGAGGGCTGCTGGGGCCAAAGTAGAGCTCGCCATCCCTGGCGGGGTTGCGATGTGCGAAACTGTCGCCACTTTCGAGGGCCCTGGGGTGTCGCCACTTTCGAGGGCTGCTGGGGGGGGGGACCCCATAGAGGGAGCCGCCGCGTACACACATTACACCTCGCCATCCTTGGGGGACTTCGATTTGCGAAGCTGCCGCCACTTTCGATGGCTTCTGGTGGGGGGGGGGCAGCATAGTGGGTGCCCACCGCGGACCCAGATTAGACCTCGCCATCTCTCGGGTGCTGCGATTTTGCGAAACTGACGCCGCTTTCGTGAGCTGCTAGGGGGGGCAGCATAGTGAGTAGCCGCCGCAGATCCAGATTAGACCTCGCCATCCCTGGGGTGCTGCGATTTGTAAAACCCGTCGCCACTTTCGAGGGCTGCTGGGGGGGGGCAGCATAGTGGGTAGCCGCCGCGGGCTCAAATTAGACTTCGCCATCCCTGGGGTGCTGCGATTTGCGACACAGTCGCAACCTTCGAGGGCTGCTGGGGGGGACGGCATAGTGGGTAGCCCCCGCGGACCCAAACTAGACCTCGTCATCCTTGGGGGGCTGCGATTTGCGATCATGTCATTTTCGAGGGCTAATGGGGGGGGACAGCATAGTGGGTAGCCGCAGCAGACCCAAAGTCGACCTCGTCATCCTGGGGGGGGGCTGCGATTTGCGAAACTATCGCAAGGGCTGCTGGGGGGGGCAGCATAGTGGGTAGACGCCGCGGGCCCAACATAGACATCGCCATCCCTGGGGGGCTGCGATTTGCGAAACTGACAACACTTTCGAGGGCCTCTGTGAGGGGCAGCATAGTGGGTAGCCACAGCATGCCCAAATTTGACCTCGCCATCCCTGGGGGGCTGCGATTTGCAAAATTGTCGCCGCTTTCGAGGGCTGCTTGGGGGGCAGCATAGTGGGTGGTAGCCGCCGCAGATCCAAATTCGACCTCGCCATCCCTTGGATGCTGCGATTTGCGAAACTGTCGTTGCTTTCGAAAGCTGCTTGGGGGGCAGCGTAGTGGATAGCCGCCGCAGATCCAAATTCGACCTCGCCATCCCTGGGAGGGGCTGTAATGTGCGAAGCTGTCGCTACCTTCGAGGGCTGTTTGGGGGGCCAGCATAGTGGGTAGCCGCAGCAGGTCCGGGGTAGACCTCGCCATCCCTGGGGGGGGCTGCGATTATGGCTTTACTTTCGAGAGCTGCCTGGGGGGGCAGCTATAGTGGGTAGCCGCCGCAGATCCAAATTTGACCTCGTCACCCCTGGGTGGCTGCGATCTGCGAAATTGTCGCCACTTTCGAAGGCTTCTTGGGGGGGCAGCGTAGCGACATGCGAACTTGCCACCACTTTCGAGAGCTGCTGGTTGGTCCAGCGGGGTGAGGCACCGCGCAGATCTGAGCGAGGCCTCGCCGTCCCTGGGTCCAGCGGAATGAGGCACCGCGCAGATCTGAGCGGGACCTCGCCGTCCTTTGGGGGTTGCGACCTGCGACACCGTCGCTATTTTTTGAAGGTTGGTGGTGGGTCCAGCGGAGTGGAGCTCCACGCAGATCTGAGCGGGACCTCGCAATCCTTTGGGGGGTGCGAGCCTCACGAGTGCCGCTCGCAGAAATATATGCGCTCATGTCACGTCATCACCTCCGTATGACGTCTCCCAGGCTATTCATGCACCGCATTGCGCAGGGATTGGGTATGTCGCCAGGGTAAGTTTTGTGTCTTTTTCCCAACCCTCCTTGGTTGGGCATTCGTTCTGAATAGAGCACTGCGGTCTCCAGTTCTCCTCCCGCCTCCCGCCTCCCGTCTCCCGCTCTCCTCTTGTCTCCTCCTGCTTTGTGCGGACCTCGCCATCCTTGGGGGGCTGCGATCTGCGAAACTGTCGTCACTTTCAGGGGCTGCTGGTGGGTCCAGCGGGGTGAGGCACCGCGGTGACCTGAGCGAGACCTCGCCGTCCCTGGGGGACTGCGATCTGCGAACCCGTCGCCACTTTCGAGGGCTGCTGGTGGGTCCAGCGGACTGAGGCACCGCGGGGATCTGAGCGAGACCTCGCCGTCCTTTGGAGACTGCGATCTGCGACGCTGTCGCCACTTTCGAGGGCTGCTGGTGGGTCCTGCGGACTGAGGGGCCACGGGGATCTGAGCGAGACCTCGCCGTCCCTGGGGGGCTGCGATCTGCGACGTTGTCGCCACTTTCGAGGGCTGCTGGTGGGTCCTGCGGACTGTGGCACCGCGGGGATCTGAGGTAGACCTCGCCGTCCCTGGGGGGGCTGCGATCTGCAAAGCTGTCGCCGCTTTCGAGGGCTGCTGGTGGGTCCAGCGGAGTGAGGCATCGCGGGGGTCTGGGGTCCTCGCCGTCCCTGGGGGGCTGCGATCTGCGAAACTGTCGCCACGCAGCTGGTGGGTCCTGCGGACTGAGGCACCAAGGATTTTAGAGCCTCTTCGTGTCGCCCGCCGTGCCTGCCGTAGGGTAACGCCGCCATCACCGCCGTCGCTGCCATCGTCGTCGACGACGATTGTGGTGGCCGACGTGAGCGACGACGACGGCGGCGGCGGCGGTGGCGACCAGGGGCCTCCTGGAGGCTTCCAAACCCAACCAAGGGGGTCCCTTGCAGGCCCCTCCGCGCAGGCCCAGCAGGGGCCAGAGCACCCCCGAGGACCTCGGCGGCGGCGGTGTTGGCGACGGGGAGGCCGGCGGCGAGGGCGGCGGCGAGGGCGCCAGCGACAGCGACGGCGGCGGCGTCGACGGCGGTGATGTGGCGGCGACGGCGGCGACGAGGGCGGCGGCGACGGCGCCAGCGACAGCGAAAGCAGCGGCGGCGGCGGCGGCACTTGAGGGCGTGGCGGAGGCGGTGGTGGCAGGTCCTGGCGACGGTGGCGCCCGCAGGCAGCGCGCGCAGGCGGCTGCTGCGGCCGGACGCTCCGTGCCTCGGCGCGCTTGCGGGGGCGCTGGCGCGGGGGCGGCGGTGGGAGCGCGTACTGGAGGCCGCTGGGTGTCCGCATCGTTTGACCGATCCGTATCCCCATCCCAATTTCCATCCCGATCCCCACCATCGAAAGAGCGTGTTCTACCGCTGCTGGCGGAAAACCGGGGGGGGTCACTGGGGGTCATAACCCGTCCCCCCCCCCGAAAACCGGGGGGGGTCACTACCTGTTCGAACCCCCCCGAGTCCATCATGAAAAGGGGTGGAGGTCACTACCGGTTCGAACCGCCCCCTCGAAAACCGGGGGAGGTCACTACCGGTTCAAGCCCCCCCCCCTCGAAAATTGGGGGGTGGTTACTACCGGTTCGAACCCCCCCCCTCGCCGCCGGCAAACGATGCCCGCTCTTCGGGACAGTTGGAGAATGGTGGGGATGTTGGGACAGTGGTGGGAACGGTGGTGGTGGTGGGGACAGTGGTGCGGGGACAGTGGGACAGTGGTGCGGACAGTGGTGGGGACGGTGGTGGTGGGGACAGTGGTGAGGGGACAGCGGGACAGTGATGGAGACAGTGGGACAGTGGTGGGGACGGTAGTGGTTGGGACAGTGGTGAAGGCGGTGGTGAGTACAGTGGGGAGAGTGGTGGGGACAGTGGGGACAGTGGGACAGTGATGGGGACAGTGGGGACGGTGGGACAGCACAGTGGGACAGCGGCGGGGACAGTGGGACAGTGGTGGGAACAGTGGGGACAGTGGGACAGTGGTGGGCACCGTGGGGAAAGTGGGGAGAGTGGGACCGTGGTGTGACAATGGTGGGGAGAGTGGGGACAGTGAGACACTGGTGGGGGGCACTGGTGGGGACAGCGGGGACAATGGTGGGAACAGTGGGGATAGTGGGACTGCGGTGGGGACAGTGGTGGTGGGGACGGTGGTGTGGGGACAGTGGGAATGTGGTGGAAACAGTGGACAGTGGGACAGTGGAGGGTACAGTGGAAGTGGCGACAGTGGTGAGGGCGGTGGCGAGGACAATGGGACAGAGGTACAGTAGGGACAGTGGTGGGGACAGTGGGGGCAGTGGTGGGGGCAGTGGTGGGAACAGTGGGACAGATCAGTGGGACAGCGGCGGGGACAGCGGGATATTGGGGACAGTGGGACAGTGGTTGGGGCCGTGGAGAAAGTGGGGGGAGTGGAACCGTGGTGGGAACAGTGGTGGGGACAGTGGGGACAGTGCGACAGTGGTGGGGGCACTGGTGAGGACAGTGGTGACGGTGGTGGGAACAGTGGGGACACTGGTGGTGAGGACAGTGCTGCTGGGGACAGCAGTGGGGGATGTGGTGCGGACGGTGGTAGGGACCCAGAGTTGTGTGCTGGCGGTGAGCGTGGGGGGGGGGTCGAACAGGTAGTGACCCCCCTCGGTTTTCGAGGGGGGGGGGCTTGCACCGGTAGTGACCTCCCCCGGTTTTCGAAAGGGCTCGAACTCGTAGTGAACCCCCCCACGTTTTCGAGGGGGGGGGGTTCGAATCGGTAGTGACACCCTGCAGTTTTCCGGAGGGGGGGGGTTCGAACTGGTAGTGACCCCTCTCTGGTTTTCTGGGGGGGGGAGGGGTTCGAACCGGTAGTGACGCCCCACGATTTTCCGCAGAGGGGGGGGGAGGGCGTTCGAACCAGTAGTGACCCCCTCGGTTTTCGGAGGGGGGGGGGGTTAGGGGAAGGGGGGGGGTTGCTGGGGGGGGGGGGGGAAGGGGGGGGGGTCCAGCAGGGGGGGGATTTTTCGGAGGGGGGGACCCCCGGGTTCCGGAGGAAGGGGGGGGGATTTTCCATAGTAAAGCGGCGGTGGATCACGCTCTCTCCCACCATCCCACCATCCCAGTTGGGTATGTGCCGTTCGGAAATCGAAGGGAGCTGCCTGTATCCCCATCTAGTGGGGTAAATCGGCCAGTGGGGCCCGGGCCACGCCAGCGGGGGTATGGATCGGTTAAGCGATGCTGAGGGCGCAGTCTCAATGCCAAGATCCTAGGCCTCCCAGATGGGGTCCGAGCAGATGGGGTCGGAGGATCGCGCCGCATCGCCGATTCATCAGTGATGCGGCTCGACGCGTAATTAGACCGATCTCCACGCCGACGGCTCCGATGCATCGCCGACGTCGTTCTTGCATCGCAAGTGCATGGACGGTGCATCGCCGAGATCGGGCTCCGCATGAGGCCGCATCGCCGATGAACTGAACTGAAACGCCGTGTCTCTACGACACATCGGCTGCAGTGATAGCGCGACGGCCCAGGAGGCGTCTGTCCTTCACCGCGGAAAAAGAAGAAGCAAGATTTCAGTCTCAGCATTCACGTGAGAGAAATATGTCGCTTGACGATTGCCTTCCAGACTGTCTTCTTGTACCGTGCTGGGCCAAGAAAAACACCGAGGAGCGCGGACTCGGGGGAGGGGGCGGGGGCAAGAGGAAGGGGAGGACGGGGAATGGGCGGGGAGGGACCGAGAGCGCCCTCGATGATCAAACGCGCCTGCGCCCTGACAACTGGGCCCCATGCCAGACGCGGGCGGCCTTGTCTGCGCCGCGCCCCCAGACCAGCGGCTTCCAGGGTTCCTGTCTGGAACAGCTTGGCTCGGAGCGCCGTGTTCGGCATGGCAGAAATTCGGCCGTACAGCAACAGTTGTCGAAAAATAAGGCGCTGGCTCAGACGTTCACTGTTGGCTCTATTCCGGACCTCCTCGTTGGAAATGTGAGAAATCATAGTGTGTGGGACGTTGAGAATCTTACGAAAACATCTTGCTTGGAATGCGTCGATCTTGTCCTGGTCAGTTTTTTTGAGACAGAACGCCTCCAGACAGTATGTGAGTTTGGACGCAGCTTGGAGATGACGCACGACTCGAAGAGAGCGAGCTTCCGCTTCCGTGTGATGTTGGCGTGCCGCCACACCATCTGGAGCTTGTCGAATGCTGCCCAGGCTTCGCCAATTCTCCGGGCAATGGCTGTGCCTGTGCAGCCGTCGGCGGTCAGGAGGCTGCCCAGGTAAACAGCTGATGGCACGACTTTGATGGGCGCCCCTCCTGTCGTGAGCACGTCCTGGGTGTGCTTCACTCGAAGGTGCACCGTCTTGTCCCAATTAGGCTCCAGACCCTAGGCTTTTGCTCTGCGGATGAGGCAAGTCAGAAAACCTTGCACCCGGTTGACGTCGTCGGAGATCAGCGCCGTGTCGTCGGCGTAGGCAACATCAAAGCAGACATTTCCATTGGGAAGTGGCCCGAATTCTTTGTGCACTTCGTGCTCGACGTCTGTCATGAGGACCGAGAGCATGATGATGAAGAGGAATGGGCTTAGCGGGCACCCCTGCGCGATGCCTGACCGCTGCGGCCGTATGCCAGAGTTTCCAAACTTGTCGCATATCTCAAAAGTCCGATTGCTGTAAATGTTGGCAATCATCTCAAGGTAGGAGTCCGGAATGCCGAAGCGTGACAAAGCGAGGATTAGCGCTGCAGGCTCCACGCGGTCAAACGCCTTCGACCAGTCAAGCAGGATGGCCCAAAGTTGCCCGTCCTTTATGGCCCATGTTCGCTCCACTGCCCTCTGCACGAGGAAGAAAGCGTCAATGGCCGTTCTCTGTTTCTTGAATCCATATTGCGTGTCCCTCCATTTGTCATCGACGATGCAGATGCAGATGAAGATGCATATGTCCATAATCTACTTCGCATCGCCGAGACAGATGCATTTGCGATGCGTCGCGATCCTCCGACCCCATCCGGTTGGACCCCACTTGGGAGGCCGCCGGTCGCAGTCTGAAGCCAAATCTTGCATGTTTTTACTTAACAGCGAAGATTGATAGGCTTCTAGTAGGGTCAAAAGAGAGCATCATGACGCCCCAGGGGGGTCTGGGCGCGATCCGGAGGAGGATGCCAGGATTTTTGTTTTTGCCACCAGTAGCGCACATCGTGGTCTTCGAGGTCCCAGAACTCCATTCCCGGGCCACATTCTGAATGCCCGGAGCCAACTGTAGGCCATTTCGTGCTCTTCGAGTTCCCAGAACCCCATTCCCGGACCACATTTTGAATGCCCGGAGCCAACTGTAGGCCTCTTCGTGCTCTTCGATTTCCCAGAACTACATTCCCGGGCCACATTTTGAATGCCCAGAGCCAACCGTAGGCCACTTCGTGGTTTTCGAGTTCCCAGAATTTCATTCCTGGGCATGATTTTGAATGCCCGGAGCCAACTGTAGGCCATTTCGTGTTCTTCGAGTTCCAAGAACTCCATTCCCGGGCTACAGTTTGAATGCTGAGGCAGGTTGATGCTGAGGCTGAGGCAGGCTGAGGCTGAGGCAGGCTGAGGCTGAGGCCGAGGCTGAAGGCAGACTGAGGCTGAGGCTGAAGCAGGCTGAGGCTCAGGCTGAGGCAGGCTGAGGCTGAGGCTGAGGCAGGCTGATGCTGAGGCAGGCTGAGGCTGAGGCTGAGGCTGATGCAGGCTGAGGCTGAGGCAGGCTGAGGCTGAGGCCGAGGCTGAAGGCAGACTGAGGCTGAGGCTGAAGCAGGCTGAGGCTGAGGCAGAGGAGGCTGAGCTGAGGCAGGCTGATGCTGAGGCAGGCTGAGGCTGAGGCTGAGGCTGATGCAGGCTGAGGCTGAGGCAGGCTGAGGCTGAGGCCGAGGCTGAAGGCAGACTGAGGCTGAGGCTGAAGCAGGCTGAGGCTGAGGCTGAGGCAGGCTGAGGCTGAGGCTGAGGCAGGCTGATGCTGAGGCAGGCTGAGGCTGAGGCTGAGGCTGATGCAGGCTGAGGCTGAGGCAGGCTGAGGCTGAGGCCGAGGCTGAAGGCAGACTGAGGCTGAGGCTGAAGCAGGCTGAGGCTGAGGCTGAGGCAGGCTGAGGCTGAGGCTGAGGCAGGCTGATGCTGAGGCAGGCTGAGGCTGAGGCTGAGGCTGATGCAGGCTGAGGCTGAGGCAGGCTGAGGCTGAGGCCGAGGCTGAAGGCAGACTGAGGCTGAGGCTGAAGCAGGCTGAGGCTGAGGCTGAGGGCTGAGGCTGAGGCTGAGGCAGGCTGATGAGGAGGCTGAGGCTGAGGCTGATGCAGGCTGA